GCTTCTTATAGGTAGCTGACTGTATTTAGTTCTTTCAAGATACCAATACTTGTTTCTTCTGTTCATATACGTGGGCCTAGAGATGGTAATATCCCTGTTGCTACAAACTTATGATATCTTTATATTTGTACACAAGCACATAGTTTTTTTTTAATAAGTATTCATAAATATCTGCTACGCAGAGGAAGTCAGATGCCACATGGCCAACCAAGGTTTAAGTTCCAACCTCAATGACTTGAAAGACATGGCAGATATGTGCGTGCCCAAGTACTGATGGGACAGAAAACTGGAAGAAAAAAGACTTCGTCATGACCAGACTCTGCTACACACACTCTATTTTATCTGTAAGCATTAAAATACACACACACACACACACGCACTCTCACAAAAAATGTGGTAGTTTTCAATAATAATGTTGTTCTGTGTGGCTCACCCTTGCTACATGCTAGAGGTGCCTAGATTCTGGAGGGAGTAAGTATATGTAGAAAATGGACACCAAATGCCATGTGGTTTAAAGCAATGGTTGTGCATATTACAAACTAGCCCATGATCAGTGAAGAGGATACTCAAAAGAGACCTATGTGTAGGCTGCCCAGTCCATAACACACAGCCAAGGACCAGTAAGAGCAACAATGGCAATTATAATGAACTACTTCCTTTATTTTATGACATTAGGTAACCTGAAAATGTTTGTGGTTCCAATCAAGGCAGGGGGAAAACCTGCCTAGGCAGCAACTGATACTTTCCTTCTCACCAGTATCTTTCAGGTCTTTCCTTGGAAATCTTTCTTTTGTGTGAATTTTTATTAGTGACATTTGTTTTAAAGTGTCTGCCTAAAGCAAGAGTTGAAAGGAATACCTCAAGTACTACTTTATGTGTGGAAAAATTTAACATCTTTAAATTTATATTTACAATTCTGCTTAGGGTCAATACACATGAGATAAAAGAGAAATAATACAATTTATTTTATAATAGAGGTGACGCTACTTTCTCTGGGGTTTTGAGGACTATGTGACATGAAATAAGGAATTGTTATGCTTTCTATTGCTGTCATAATAACCACAAACTCAGATAACATACGTTTAAATAACATAAGTTTATTATCTTACAGAACAGTATTTGTACATAATTTTTTGACAAGAGTCATTAATAGGTTAAGTCAAGGGGTTAGTTAGCAGGGTAGTGTTCTTTCCTGGAGGCTCAGGAGAAAAACCCATTTCCTCTTTCAGCTTCCGGAAGCCGCCTGAGTTCTTTGGCATATGGCCCCGTTCTCCATCCTCAAAGCCAGCAACAGCTTGCTGAATCTTCATATCACTTCAGTATGACCTTCTCATTGTCAGTATCTTCAACTTCTAAGGGCCTTTATAATTACACTGAGTTCACTATACAATCCAGAATAATCTATTTTAATGACAGCTGAAAAAGAACTAATAGGATATACTTGGACACACATGCAAAAAAAAATCATGAGGAATTGATTCATGGGGTTATGGAGGCTAAGAAGTCCCACAGTCTGCTGTCTGGCTGTCTGCAAACCCAGGAAAGCCAGAGTTCCAGGACAGCAAGTCTTTGGAAAACCAGTGACATGGGTCTAGTCCAAACCCAAAGACCTGAGAATCAGAAGTGCTAACATCTTGTGAGGAGGGAGAGGGAGATGGATGTTTCAGCTGAATCAGAACAAATTCATCCTTCCTCCACATTTATGTTCTCCTTGGGGTCTCAATGAATTGGATGAGGCTCAGTATATAATGAGATTAATCTTTTTTACTCAGCATATTGATTCAAATGCTTCTACCTTCCAGAAACACCCCACAAACACTCCCAGAAATAATTTTACCAGTTCTCTGGACAGCCCTTATCCTGGTGAAGTTGGAATATATTATAAACCATCACATCAGTTGATTAACAATCATCATCTTCCTTGGTCATGTCTGCTTTCATTGTGTCTTCATCTGTTTTGTGCTGCTATAAAAGAGTACCCGAGGCTGGGGAATTTATAATGAACAAGTTTACTGGCTTACAGTTCTGGAGACTGAGAACTCCAGTATCAAGGTGATAGCTTCTGGGAAGGGCTTTCATGATACATCATCACACAGCATATGGTAAGAAAGAAAGAGAAGAAGGGGCCAGATATGTCCTTTCATAATAGCGCAAATCCCATGAGACAGACAGAGAGACAGAAAGCAAGAAATCACCCCCCAGGGGGATGGCCATGCCGCAATCCTTTTTCCTCAATTCTCCTCTCAGGATCTTGGGCATGCATGCACACACGCGCATTGTGAGTTTAAGCCATCAGGTCTGTGAATTGAACCGTGGTCGACTACATGGGAATTCAGTGACATAGCCATTATGTCAACTGCTGGTCCCCCTAATCACCTCTTAAAGGTGCCACTTTAATAATGTTATAATGGAAATTAGATTTCAATGTGAATTTTGAAGGTGACATATTCAAAACATAGCAGAACTACCATAACGAAATTTAAAATACTACAGACTAGGTGATTTAAACAACAGAAATTATTTTTCACAGTCCTGGAGGTTAGGAAGTCCTAGCTAAAGAGGGAGGTAATTAAAATCTTAGTGAGGATTCTCTTCCTGCCTTATAGATCAGGACTCTATCCTATGTCCTCATTTGGCCTAAATTACTTCTACAGAGGCTCCATCTCCAAATACAGCCACACTGAGGGTTAGGGCTTCAACATATTAATTAGGGGAAACAAAGAGTCAGTTGATAACTCTCTCAACTAATGATCCAAATAATTTCTTTTTCATTTTGCTGCTACAACCTCCAATACGCCTACCCAATCTTACCTACTAAACAGCTCACATGCCTGTCATATCAGGAGTGCCTTATGGGGTGCTTTTATAGTAATTATCCATTCCTGTATCTTACTTTTATTTGCCAAATATATAATGTCAGTCTACTCTCTCGCTGTTAACTCTTAAACTATATCGTTCTAGACATTCAGTTTCATAGGCTCTACAAACTCTATTTGCACAAATAAAACACATTAACTCAACCCTATTCCTTCCTCCAATAAAAATAATCTTTGTCCTAGACCAGTCACATAGCATAGTGGTTAAGTGCTATATCATAGAAAGTAGTATCCAATGACCAACTGCAGTGTGAACCCCAAACCCAGTAACTTAAAAACACCCCAGGCATCTGTTCATGCATACCCCAAATCCTGACAGGATGGAAAAATAGAGGAAAAGGGATTACAGCATGATCGTGCCCCATGGGGGGGAGAAGTAAAATTCTTTGTCTCTCACTTTTTCTCTCACATGCTTTCATAACCACTTCCAGGCAATTAATTTTTTTTTAATGTTCCATGTCCTGTATTCCTCATCTCAGGATATGGTACCATTTGTTAGGCATTGGAATATTAAAACAAAGTCATCTCATATTTCCATCTAATTCTCCATATTCAATGAAACATAAAATCTTGGCAAATTTATCTTCTAATATCCATTAAATTCAATTATTTCCATCTCCAATGCCCTGTAACCCCACCTTGTTTAGCCTAGATTCAGCCTATTAACCAGTTTCCTTCCATTCCTTTCCACACAAAGAAGCCAAAGTAATCCCTCCTCTACTTACAACCTATTATTTTTCTTTATGTGGCATATCAGGTCTTCCTTGATCTAACCTCTACCTACCTCTCTGGCCTTCCCTGTCAGTCTAAATTTCTGTATAGTCTTCTCAGCTCTTCCATATTTTATTCTCTGTCTTAACATATACTGTTCCCTCCACCTGCAATATTCTCTCTCTCCCCCCTCCTATGAGCATGGCTAAAGTCCACCTACCTATCTAGAAAGCTAATGCTTAATCCCTTGTTCTTTAAAAGGGATTTACCCAACTCCTAAATGAAATTCTTTTGCTATCATTGCTTACCTGTCATAGAGAAAATTTTCTTCTCTCCTTTAAGATGCAGTATTTGGAGCATATTAAACTGACACATGTATTAGCAAGAGAAAAGTCAGACTTGCCAATATCCATAGAAAATTATGACTCATAGAGGACATCAAGAGTTTGGGGTTTATATACCATCTTAACAGGGGGAGGAAAGAGAAGGGCATTTATGGGACAAAAAAAATGAATTTTATAAAAGATAAATGGGCCCTTAGAACGAATAGGAGATATGATAGTTTTGTGACAACGTCTGTTCAGGTACATTATTGACACCTTATTTCCAGTAATAGGAGTCAATCTTCTCTAGTTCCCCTCCCACAGAGGCGGCTTATGAAAATTGAGTTCTTTTAAATTCCTTTGGGAGGCTCTGCTTTTAGGCAGATAAGAGACTTCAGGAACTCATATACTTCCTGCTCAAAATAATTTTTAGGTCACAATGGCATAATGAATTTCCCTTTAATTCAATGCAATGTGAATTAAGGTTGTAAGCAAAAGAACTCTAACCCCATATTCGTTTTGTTCAGTTGGTATGCCCAGCACCTTTAATTTGTTAAATGTAGAAATGAACTGGAGATGCCCTAGAGAACAAACAAGCTTGTATAGCCCAATCACTTGATCACTCAAGAACAGCTTGCACAATTATACTAAGCTGTCAGGTTAACAAACAGCTTCAAACGAACCTATCAATCTTCAGTGCTATTTATTTCCACTGCCTACGTATTCTGTAATGAATCTGGGTAGACATGCTCCATTTACACTACTGGAGAGAAGGAGTAAATAATAACAAGCCTTTAAAGGAGGCGGGGACACTTCTCATTGGAAGCAAACTCTGGATTCGCTCAGGAAGAATAAGAAAGTAAACCTCAGAGCTACTCTCTTGCTTGCCAGGCCGAAGGGGGAAAAGTCCGTGAGCCTTTCCCTCGCTCTCCCTCCATAAGCACAGGGACGCCGACCACGCCAGGGACAGAGCTCACCTGAGCCCGCTTCCCGACCGCCGCCGCTGTCCGCCCGTGACGTCACCGGAAGCGGCTGCCTGTGACGCTAAATAGCCCTCCCTCTCGCCCTGGGCGCCGGAAGCAAAACGGAAGTGGACGTGCACCCACTTCCGGGCTCAGACGCCATTTCTAGCGGTTGCGGGTTCTCACGGGTTGTAGTCTTCGGGACAATGAGCTATGACTACCATCAGAACTGGGGCCGCGATGCGGGGCCCCGCAGCTCCAGTGGCGGCTATGGAGGAGGTCATGGAGGGGGTCACGGGGGAAGCCGGGGCTCTGGAGGTGGCGGCGGCGGAGGTGGTGGTGGTGGCGGCCGGGGCCGGCATCCCGGGCACCTGAAAGGCCGCGAAATCGGCCTGTGGTACGCGAAGAAACAGGGGCAGAAGAACAAGGAAGCGGAGAGGCAGGAGGTAATCTGAGGTTTGATAGTGGAGCAGATGAAGCAGGACAGGTTTTCTTTGCCTTCCCTCCGCCCTTTCCTTTTGTTTCTTAACTGCACGTGCTTCGAAAAGCCTAAGTGAGGTCTGAGTCTATTATGCTAAAGCTTTCTGTAGCGGATCTTAATCCACATTACGTTACCCAAGCGCATCTGACACGAAGCAGTCAGCATATTTATGCAGGCTGTTTGTGTACATTGTTTAACGGACGAAAGAACTGTGGATAAAACAGGTGTTAAGTGTTGCTTCCAACCTTATTGAACTTGTGTTATGGTCATTCTCTGGCCATACTTAACGTTAGAATAATTATCGTCACTTTCATGTAAGTTCTTTGGCCTGGTGAAGTTGAAAAGAGGTTTTTGTGGAGCAACAACATTCAAGCGGCTCGCTCTGGAAAATATACTCCTTAACTTTTATTATTAGGGTTTTTACTGATTTCTTTAAAAGCGCTTTTCATTTTAGAGTGTAAATTTCCATTTAGGCCAGTATAATTTTAAACCATTCTGTTTGTTTATTTATTTATCTTTTAACTATGTCACTTTTATCAAAGTGTTTTTTTGAACCTTAATCCATTTATCTTCACAACTACCACATTCTTCTCTCTAAAAGAAAAAAGCCTATTCTGACAGCCCCAAATTTGTTTCATTGAGCAGTCTCATTTTTGAAAATCGGGTGAGCACATCTAAGTCATCTTGGAAATGGAAGATGATTATGAAGAGGCATACACAGAAACTTTTATCAGTTTTTATTTACCCTTCCTTTTTAAACAGTGGGTTTTGATATGTTGCTACAATGATCTGAAGAAGTATATTTAAGAAGCTTACAGTCTAGTTGTGAAAATAAGAGCTAAAGAGATGAAAAGTTAAATTGGGGAAAATTATTGTTTTTCCACATGTAGGGCGCTATCAGTTGTGTAGTGAATATTATGAAACTATTCCTTTTAACCCATATTTCCACTAAGATAAATGGCATTACCATTTATTCACGTGCCAAGGCCTAATTAGATTCAACTTTTAATTTTTCCCTTTCAACAAAACTGCTTTTTAAAAAAATATGTTTCAGACCCAACCATTTATCTCTATAGCAGTTAACCGTACATACAACCACTATTTTGTTTTCTGCTTGTAGCCTCCTAACTAGTCTTCTGGCTTCTACTCCTGCCTCTCACTAAGTCTGTCCTTTATAATAGAGCCACCCTTGTGGTCTTTAAAAGGAAAAATTAGATCATTTCATTCTCTAGCTTACAGCTTGTGATTGGAAGCCTTGCCACGTCTTTCTCAAGTCTAATGCATTTCAGCAGTATGTTAATATGTTTTCTGGGAGTCTTGGTAATCTGGCTTCAGTATATCAAGTTACCCTAAATGTAATTATCTTTCTGAGCCCGTGTCTGCTATCTGATATAATTAAATTCTTTATAAACATATTTTATTTTTGCTCTTTATTACAGTGTCATATCATTCTTTTGGGTTTTGTTTGTTTGTCTTTAGATTTTTGCTATAGGGCGCGTGCACTCACCAGAGAGAAAGTGAGAATCACCCCTCGTGGGAATGGCCACACTGCAGTCCCTTCTCCATTCTCCTCTTGAGATCTTGGGTACACACACACCCACACACATGTGTCTAGGGTGAGTTTCAAGCCACTGGATCTGGGACTCTACATGTGTCTAGGGTGAGTTTCAAGCCGCTGGATCTGGGACTCAATCCGTGATTGACTACATGGGAGTCCAGCAACATAACCATTATGCCATCTGCTGGTTCTGCATCATACCATTCTTAATATGTACCTCTCCATCTTTAGATAGTGTTTTTCAATTAGTTCATGGGCTTCTTCCATTAGGCTGATTTCATTGCTTCCCAGCCAGAATTTCCATAGCTTTTATTTTTAGAGTAATCCTTGTGTAATGGTGCATTCTTGTTTATTCAACAAATATTGAGAATATAATAGGTTTGAGACAGTATTTTAGGTACTGTGTAATGGTACATTCTTATTGATTCAACAAATATTTATTGAGAACATAATAGGTTTGAGACAGTATTTTAGGTACTGTGTTAATAGGACAGATGCTGCACCTACCTTACAGAGACTGGTATGTTAAAAGCTATAGACAATTAGAATAATGTTGAAATATTACAATAGGGAGACTATGGGCTGTTGCCTAATTCAAAGAATTTTAGAAGACTCCAGGGGCTCTAACCCTACCTAAAACTTGAAAGATAGCAAAGTAGGTGCATCTGTGTTGGGGTTTTAGGGTTTGGAAAGGATTTTCAGGCAAAAACTGCAGCATGTGCCACAATGCAAGGTCAGGTAGAACATGTTCCAGAAACTGAAAAGTCAGAAATGATGAAATGGAATGTTTTTCAGCTGTTTTGCTGTGAAGAGGAGAAAGAAAAATAGAACAGTAGCTGATAGTCTAGGGGAATTAAAGACAGGGATTTACTTGTGAAGATTTTTTAAAAAGTTTTTGCTGTAGGCCATGTGTGCTCTCAGGAAAGAGGCAGTGAGAGGGAAAGTGAAAAATCACTCTTATCTTCTGGCGGATGGACAGGCTGCAGTCCATTTTCCTCCATTTTCCTTCTGGGATTTCAGGCATACACACGTCTGGCATGATTTTCAGGCCTCCAGGTTTTGGACTCGAACTGTGGTCAGCCATGTGGAAACCCAGTGCCTTAGCCATCATGGCACCTACTGGCCCTTTTGAAGTTTTTACAGGTGAAAAGATTTGACTGTATTCATTTACTAACGGGAAGGAGCTAATGGAATGAAAAAGTGTATCAGAGTATTGGGGATTGATTTAGGGCCCTTGTCCCCACCATGAATACCAGAATCCAGTAAAATCCATAGATGGTCAAGTCCCTTATATATAATGCAGTATTTGTATATAATCTACACTATAAATAACCCCTCGCTTACTTATAAGTAATCTTTGCTGCAGTAATGAACAGTTTTCTCTTCCTAATGAGAAATCAAGTGTTTCGTTTTTCTACTCGCATCACTTGACCATCTGAGTTCAGTTGATAGTTCTGCTTCACATTGATCATTATGAAACCTGTTTGGAATGTTGCTGGGTTTGTTGCTAGAGAGGGAATACCCCTGAAGGACTCTTACACATTTCACTGACCAGTAATTCACAGGACCATGCTTAACTTAGGGGTGGGAAAATGCCATTCTACTGTATAGTTAGAAAGCAACCTAGAATATCAGACAACCACCTAAGGACTGCTAGAGAGGTTGGTGATTTAGGAAAGGAAGGTAATATCAATAAACAGAAGTAGAGTTGTGGAGGTGAAGGAGATTTGGACTATAAAGTTCATCCTTAAACAGGAAATGAACAAAAGAGGAAAGGGTAAAGTTCTTACATAGGTGGTTTTAAATTTGATGGTGACAAGTTGAGGACTTTTCCTTTTTAGGCCTTTTGTTTTGTTCAGTACTGTTCGAAAAATGTTGAGGTCAAATAGGTGGTATTGGTGTGTCACAGAGAATGGAGAAAGTTGAAAATAGTTGCAGATAATTTGAAACCTGATAAAGATAGATGTAGACAATTTGCTAAAAATGATTGAGGGCCTCCTTAATAAAGACTTATAACTGGAAGCAGGATATTTGATGAAGTCCAAAAGAAAAGGGAAATGAACAAAATCAAACAGTTGTTTCTTTGGTATCTATGGGAGATTTTGGTATCCCCCACTGTGGATACCAGAATCCAGTAAAATCTATAGAAGGTCAAGTCAAGTCCCTTATATAAAATGTAGTATTTGTATATAATCTACACTTTAAATCACCTTTAGCTTACTTACAAGTAACCTTAGCATTAATTATAAGTGAAAATAAAAATATGTAGATAAACTTGAGCATTATCTTTCAAAGTGCTGTCCCTCCTTCCATCTTACAACAATTGGTGTGGCCTGACTGCATCCATGGATAGAGAGGACTGACTATACTGTGGTAAAATACTACTCCATGGATAGGAGGGCTGACTATACTATGGTAAAATAAACTAGTCATGAAATATAAACTATGTGCTTGAGATCCTCGAGGCAGGAAATAAGGTGATATTTTTCTAAAATAAGAAAATTGCTTTATCTCTGTGACTTCAGTTTCTTGCTCTTTGAAGAACACACTATCATCACATCACAACTCTAAAAACAAAATCTCACTAGTAGTCCAGTCCATATTCCATCTGCCTAGTAATTATTACAGTTGAGAATTTGACCATTGATGTCAGTTGCCTGTAACTCAAAACTTAGCATTCTCTTTGAGCTCTGCCACCACCAAATGTATATAAAAACACATATTATCCCGTAGCAGCCTCCTAACGCTTGCTTATATGCTGTCCTTTCAGCACCCACTCTTGAATTTGGAGCAGTTATCTTTGACTCTCTCTCCTTGCCTCCCTCCCACCCCCCATTAAATAATCATTAAGTCGAAAGGTTTCTTCTCTGATTTTTTTTTTTAAGAGATTTTTTTAGCATGGACTCCCCAGAGAGATGGTGAGAAATCACACCCTGTCCAGGGGCAATGGCCATGCCGTAATCCCTTCTCCATTCTTTCAGGATTTTGGCCATGCAAATATATGTGCTTAGTGTGACTGTTCAAGCCACCAGGTTTGGGACTCAAACACTTGTCAACTACGTGGGAGTCCAATACTTTAAACACTGTTTATCTGCTGCCTGCCCCCCCTTCTCTGATTTTTAACAATATTAGGTCATCCAAAAAGTCATGACACATTTTTGCATAGAAAAATGCAAAAATGACTTTTCTGACAACTCATTATTTTGTCTTCATTGACACTTAGGCCTTCCTTATTTTTTTGCCAGAGGGCATATGCACTTGACAGAGAGAGGGGGGTAGAAAACTCCTCCCACTGGGGTGTAATTACACTGCAATCTCTTCTTTATTTCTCCAGCCTGTTGAAATTTTGGCAGTGACACGCACATGTGCCTGGCATGTTTTTCTAGCCACAGGGGCCAGGAGAAACCACTTGGTTGGCTCTTGAATCATGAGGACATGAGTCTGGCTCCCTCTCTTTTTTACTTCTTTAGCCGAACAGACTTTTTCCTCCCCCCCTTTTAAAGAGATTTTTGCTATAGGGCACATGCCCACTGGAGAGACAGAAAGCAAGAAATCACACACACACATAAACATGGAGGATGGCCATGGCACAACCCCCCTCTCCTCCATTCTTCTCTTGGGATTTTGGTCATCCACACACATGTTCCTGGTGTGTTTTAAGTCTCCAGTTCCAGGACTCAACCATGGTTGACTATATGGGAGTTCAGTGATGTAACCATTACCCATCTGCCAGTTCCACAGACTCTCATTTTTACCACTCGTCATGCATTTCCACTTGCCTGTAGGTTCATATACAAATCATGAACTCCAGGTCTTCCAGAACATGTGATTTGTAGGCCCATAGATTTTAGAAGAATCATTTTTAAACTTGCTATATCTAAAAAAAAACAAGTCCCAAAGAATTGGATTTGTCATTCATTCTGTTTTTTAAACCTTGCTTGTGATTTCATTTCCTAGATGCATAGTTAAGGTTTCTATAATTTTCATAGCTCAACAATTCTTTTTCAAATCTGGTATTTTTAATTCTCATTTTCTGAGGTAGCTGTTGCATTGGCCACATTAGATCACCAATTTCCATGAGTACTGAAAAATTTATTTCCTCACTCAGAGGTCAGCCTTCTTACTTCCCAATTTCTTTTTTCCTTATTTTATTTCATAGAATATGTGGGGATAGGGGGGAGAGAAAAAGCATCCCCTCCAGGGCCTGATCACACCACATTTTTCTTTTCCTCCAATTCACCATGTCATCAGGATCCTGGGCACATTCAACCTATGTGTTCTTCAAGCTTCTTTAACCAGGATTCAAACTCTGGTTGGCCACATGAGATCTTGGCTTCCTCTGTACAGTGTTTAGCCTCACTACTAAACCTTTATTCATCTTTTTAATATAAAAGTTTTCAAATGCTCATTGCAACCAAAATATTATTTCCAGGTGTCAACAACTTTTTTTAATGGAATATAGAAGTTTTAATGGCTGAAAGTTTAAGATAGGGAAGAATTCATAAATATTAATATGTGAGAATTGGAGGTAGCAGAACCAAAGTTATAGGAAGAAACATAAATATGCTTTCATTGCCAGTCATGTTAGAGTGAATTTTATATTGATAGATTCATGATAAGAAAAGATCTAGAAGGATGTATATAAAACATGGTGACATTAATTAGGTCTAAGAAGTGGGATTGGGCTAGATGACAAGTATAGGTAACTTACATTTTCCATGTGTTGTTGAACATATATTTCTTTGCTTTTATTTGTTATTTTTGTTAGTATCAGATAAATTTGCATGTTTTCTTTTGTTTATAAAGATGCTTTTTCCTTTGTACAAAATAGAGAGCTGTGGTACACATGGATGAACGACGAGAAGAACAAATTGTGCAGCTACTGAATTCTGTCCAAGCTAAGAATGATAAAGATTCAGAAGAACAGATATCTTGGTTTGCTCCTGAGGATCATGGGTAAAACAAAAAATTTTCTTTTAAAGAATAGGCAGAGAATAACACTTCGCTTATAGCATTGGCTAAAAAAATAATAAAAATAACATCTTTACTTATTTACATCATCAATAAGTAAAATTTAGTCCTTAAGTAATTCTTTTACTTAAATTAAGTAGATATGGGAGGGGGATTTAGATGGTACATTCCCACATTAATGCTAAATCATAGCAATGTATCAGCTATATCTTAGAATGTATTTGTGTATTAAAAATGTTAAGTTGCTATTTATTGTTCTTCCCACCCATCATTTCTGTTTCTGAAATTCCTCTTTGGGCGGTCTCATGGAAGTTAAATTACTGCTGTATAGTAAGATTGCAGGAACAGGGTCCAGCAGGTGGCAAGGTGGTTAAGGTGCTGGACCCCCACATGGCTGACCACAGTTCATGTCCTGGACCTGGCAGCTTGCTTTGTCACTTTCCCTCTCTCTCTTTCTCTCTCACTCTGTCCCTTTCTGGTCAAATTAAAATAAATAAATTAAATATAGTTAAATAATTCTTTTTTTTAAAAGATTGCAGGAACTATATCGGAGTAAAAAGTAGTAGAAATATGTAAGTAAGACTGTGTAATGTAGCATCATATTTATAGCTGGGAAAGGGTAGCAGGAGAAAATGAAGTTGTGGAGTTAATTAAATAAGGTCAAGAAAAACAGAAAAAGTAAAGGACTGTCAGTAATTTCAATGGAGGAATGACTATTTGTGTGGATTTTTTTTTAAACTGCCACAAAGAATAACTTATCTGACAATATCTATTTATTTTAAAGGGCGAGAAAATGAATTCATTCTAACAATCTAAGTATATTTTATGCTTATTTTACTAAGAGTAAAGCTTTTGGTTTTGGAGATTTGAAATATTAAAGCAGTGTATTTTTTGTTATGGGACTGTGGGGCTGAGTGGCTGAATATCTGACTTTCTCTTTCTTTATCTCTCTCTTTTGGTCAAAATAGATATGGTGCCGAAGTTTCTGCTGAGAACAGATCAAGCTCAGAGAAGAAGCTTGACAGCCAGGAAAAGAAATTGATAAACCCAGAAAAAAGATCATTTAGAATCAGGGACAAGTCATTTATTGACCGAGATTCTGAGTATCTCTTGCAAGAAAATGAACCAGATGTAACCTTAGACCAACAATTATTGGAAAATCTACAAAAGAAAAAAACTGACCCTCGGTATATTGAAATGCAGGTAATGGAAAGTAAGATGTGTAAAACATTTTTACTTGTCATTCTTTTCTCACACTTGATAAAATGTTTATGGTTAGGGATAACTGCATAGTATAGATCTGTGAGATTCCTCAACAAGACTTCCTCTAGGAATTTTTTTTCCTTTTTAAATAGTAGATAAAAGCAGTAGGAATGAAATGACACAGCCTACAGTATCCTGCCTTATCCACAGAAGCGTATGTGTTTGTATTTGCTAGTGCAGATGAAAAACATCACTCTAAAACATTATGGGCCAGTTTAGTGAGTGTTTAAAAAGTTGAGACAGTTAGAATTAGAAAGGCTCTTCCAGATCATATCTTTTTCCTTTTGCAAATGGTAGAATTAAATCTTTCAACAGTTACGTGATATTTTTATGTTTATTTTTTTAATTTAAATTTTTTTTAGATCTTTGCTATAAGGTGTGTGCGCTTGCTGAAGAGAGACGGAGAAACGGGAGGGAGTGAGAAATTTCCCCCCAGCAAGGATGGTTTTATCACAGTCCATTCTTCTCCTTTCTCCTCTTGGGATTTTGAATACTCACACATTTGCATTATGGTTTTCAAGATGCCACATCTTAACCATTATGCCACCTGCTGGCCTCTGTATATGTATTTTACCAAGGGAATTCTGATAGCCATATCTTTATTATGTTGATACATTTAATCTTTTATTATTTCTGTATTTATTTTTTAAATTTTGCTAGTGATAGAGAAAAGGAAAGTGGGAAGACATGCCCAGGGGAGATGGCCATGCCACAGTCTTTTCTCCACTTGGGGTTTTGGGCATGCACACACATGCATCTGGCATGTTTTTCCAGCCTTCTAGTCCAGGACTCAACCACACTGTCAGCCATTGGGGGATCCAGCCACCATGCTACCAGCTGGCCCCCTTATAACCAATTTTGAGAAAGGCATGTCACAACTCCTTTAGGAAGGAAATGATCTATTATGGTCAATGATGGAGGTTGGATTTCCTTATTTAAACTGGTAAACAAAGGTTGTCCATGGGCTAAATTGTATAGCTGTTTATGCCTGTTGAATAAAAATGATTCGAAGGTAGGGAGATTTCAAGATGAATTAATTTAGGATCTTGTGGTTGAGAGAACTGTTTTTATGGCCTCAGAAACAGTGAAAAGTTTTGCTTTGTATGGTAGACAGAAATCAAGTATTAATGAAGATGAGTGATCTAGTTCAGAGAAGGAAGAAATGTATAAAACATACAATCAGTTGGTAACCTATTCCCAGACACTTGTGAATTCTTCACACATACTACATCTTTTTTTTCTTTTTTTGGAGAGGTTTTTGCTATAGGGCATGTGTGCTCGCCAGAAAGACAGAGACAAAGAGAAAGTGAGAAATTGCCCCCCAGAGAGGATGGCCACGCCACAGTCCCTTCTCCTCCATTCTCCTCTTGGGATCTTGGGCACACACGCACACGCGCCTGACATGCGTATAAGTCACCAGGTCCGGGACTCGGACCGTGGTCGGCTACATGGGACTTCAGCGACATAGCCATTACGCTAACTGCTGGTCCTGCACATACCACATCTTTTAAATATCCTAACAATCTTGTATAACCACCTTGCCACCTATGGGCCCCAACCCAATCTTTTAATTCTTTTGGTAGTGTACAATATTTTTTCTTTGCCACTTATGTAGTAAATACTCATTTTCCCCATATCAAATGCCTTTTATTATGCTCTTTTCTGCAGAGTAGAAAAACATTCCCTGTTCTCAAAAGGGATGTAATTGCGTTATCTCACTTGTACATAAAAAATAAGAAATAAGAGGTTTAGTGTCCTTGGAATGATTATGGGCTTTGACGCTCTCCAGCAGCATTCAGATATAAAAAGCAAATATAAATTAATGCTAGTTTGAAATACAGCACGATGTCTTGTATTTGTGTGTTAAATGTATTGAATTTGTCCCAGCCATGGGATCTGAGTGGTAGGGCTCTGCTACATGATACTGGAGCCATGTAGAAAGGCCGAGGATTAGGATTTTAGTTCAACTTGAACCAGCTGGGTACAAGCATGCTCATTATCCTTGCAGACTAGGAGACTGGGGGAAGGATCACCCTGTCGAGGTCCCTGTGTCTGTCTGTCTGATGAATGAAATAAATTCAAGTTGTGTCATATTTAATTAAATGGGATTCTAATATTTTTAGATGTCATTAATAAATGAGTTTACGTTAAATATTTTTTTCTTAGTAAAGGAGATTTGTTAAAACTGGTTTATTTTTATGCTACTGAAGTTTTTTTAATCTTCATTTTACATGATAGAACTAGGTGAATTTAAACTCTAATATTGCTACTTAGTGTTTTTAATGTGTGCCGGTATTGGTTTACATAAAAAGTTACAAAATTAGAAAGAAATTGTCACATAAATTTAAAGAGAAATTAATTACTACCTTTTTAGCATTCCAGTTGTAATTCAACAAATTGTAAATTTACTGAGTATCTTAGTTAGGTGTGTCAGAAACTAACTTCCTTTTCTTTTTTTTCTTTTTTTTTTTTTTTAATTTAAGATTTTTGCCATGTGTGTACTCACAGGAGAGAGACAGAGAAAGTGAGAAATCTTCTCCCTCTCCCCCTAGGGGACAATGACCATGCTGTAATCCCTTCATTCTCCTCTCAGGATTTTGGGCATGCATGTGTCCTGTGTATTTTTCAAGCTCTGGAGACCAGGGACTCAAACCAGAGTCACCCATGTGGGATCCAGTGCCTTAGCTACCATGCCATCTGCTGACCCTGTTACTTGCTTTTTACATAAAAGTTTTTCATTCACAGGCCAGCAGGTGGCATGGTGGTCAAGGCACCTGACTTCCACATTGCTTACCACTGTTCAAATCTCCAGACCTGCCAGCTTGATTTATTTTTTTTTCCTCTCTCTCTGTCTATCTCTGGTGAGCACATGTGCCCTGTAGCAAATTTAAAATAATAGTAAATAAAATGGATCATTTTAAAAAGGAGATTTTGATTCAGATCATGTGGCAACCCCATGAAATTAAACCTTTGAGGCACTCACTCCAAGGTTGACAAAGATTATAGTTCTAAAATGGCAATACTAGATTTTGACTCCAGATATTGTGTAGGTTTTGTCTTACACTAAAAGAGACATGCCCTAAAATAAAATACTCTTTGAAACTCATCCAGTGCCCACTGCACTAGTAAATAGTATACTGATGGCTGGGGAAAGAATGTGATTTAGAAATCAAAATTTAAGATGAATGTACAATATAGCAATAGGAAAAACAGTAATTTAGGGATTGTTAAGTGTTAGATAATAGATCAGATTCCATTTTACTGGCATCAACTTTTTTTTTTACTGAGAGATTTTTGCTTTTAGGAGGTGTGCATGAGACAGAGACAGAGAGAAAGAAAGTGAGAAATCACACCCCCCCCCCAGGGGGGATGGCCATGCCACAATCCCTTATGATCTGTGTTCCTTCGGGAACTTGGGCCCACATGCACACGCACTCAGCGTGAGTTTAAGCTGCCAGGTCCAGGACTCAAACCACAGTTGACTGGTTGACTATGTGGGAGTCCAGCGACATAACCATTTCGACATCGGCTAGTCCCAGTAAATCTTTTTTTATAAAGAATTCTTTTTTTAATCTTGATAATTCACAAGCTGCAAAATAATACTTTGGGTTCTAACACATACCTATGATGTATTTTGATTACGATGATTGTAATTTGATTATATTTCCTTTGTGGAAATTAAAAACATTATTTTTTCATTTCAGCATTTCAGGGAAAAGCTACCTTCATATGGAATGCAAAAGGTAAGATGCTTTATTTTATTTGCAGACAATTATACCATTTTTTAAAAAGTTTTCTATTAAGAAGACATAGAAAATGATTATGCTTCTCCTGAAAGGTATTATTAGAAGTTAATTTTATTCTTTTAAATTTTGTTGGACAAAGGAGAAAAATATGTCATGAAGTAATTTTTCTGAAATATTCTTATATTTATATCCATAATTGAATCTTTGGAATTTAAAAACAGAATTTTCACATGTGAGTTACTTTGGATAAATGCCCTGTCCTTAATTCAAGACCAAACATTTCAGTTAAAATTGAGGTCCTATTAAAAAAATATAGTGCTTTAATTGATATTATACATCATTATACAGTTACCCAATATAAAATAATATGGTACCCCATTCTTTGTCTTCCCAATCTAATTTTTTTTTTGCTTTTCATAGCAGTTAATTACCACTTGACATCTGTGTTTCTTCCCCTCCTAGGCCAAATTAAGTTTGAGGAGATAGGGTCTGTTTTGTTCACTGATAGCTTGACTCAGAACAGTGCATAATATTCTGTAGATATCCAGATTGAACCATGTTGTCCATTGCAATATTTACCAGCTATAATTTCAGTTTTCAAACTTGGAAATCATTCTTATATAAACATTGTGTTAGAATAGACAGGAAATTTTTAAGAGGTAGGTTTTCAAGTTAAACTATTCTATAGATGTAAATAGCCCATTTTTTAAAGTAATAAAATGGTTAGTTATTGAAGTAATTGTGAATATTAGTATTGAAAATAATGGTATATATCTAAAGTTTTTGAGAAAGATGATCTTCCCCAAATATAAGGTTTTCTAATTAAAGTTTACTCATTTGATTTAGGTATTTAAAAAGTAGTTATTTTAATTATTCGAAGGGAAATATTCTTAGCTACAGTATAGTTCTCCTGATTCCTAAAACAGTATACAAAATTTATCCTGCACACAAAGTAATATTTATGAATAGGATATAAATCTGTAATGTCGTCAGTAGTTGTTTAAGGTAGAAGTTGACTCTGTACTCAATGGCCTCAGATATCAACAGTAATTTGATGTTAATTCTTTTTTTTTTTTTTTTTTTTTGAGAGATTTTTGCTATAGGGTGCGTGCGCTCACCAGACAGAGAGAGACAGAGAGACAGAAAGCGAGAAATCACCCCCCGGGGGGATGGCCACGCCACAATCCCTTCTCCTCCATTGTCCTCTCAGGATCTTGGACACACATGCACATGCACCTGGCATGAGTTTCAAGTCACCGGTACGGGACTCGAACCACGGTCGACTACATGGGAGTCCAGCAACATAGCCATTATGCTAACTGCTGGTCCCATGTTAATTCTTATACATGGAACTTAAGAGCTATATCTTCCTGTTCTTGTCAGTACATTTTTCTATAAAAGTGCTATGGCTCTGTTCTTTATAATTTGGTGCTACTTGTCTCTTGAAAATTGGTAGACACAGATACTCATTCTGCCACAATGCATCTAACACAGCTTAAAAGCATTAGTATGTTATAAGCAGTTACCTTCAGTTTGGTAGAATTTTGATAGGTATCTTTTAGACTTAGCTAACATGATGTTCTTCACTTATTTTCACTTTGAAATAGGAATTGGTAAATTTAATTGATAACCATCAGGTAACAGTGATAAGTGGTGAAACTGGTTGTGGAAAAACCACCCAAGTTACTCAGTTTATTTTGGATAACTACATTGAAAGAGGAAAAGGATCTGAATGCAGAATAGTTTGTACTCAACCAAGAAGAATTAGTGCCATTTCAGTAAGTAATCTCTTTTTAATATTGCCTCTTTTATCTTCCATCCTCTTTTAAGTAATCTTGCTAGAACTTACTCATTTTGATAGTTTAGAGTGAATCTTATCTAGGCTGAGAATTTGTTACTATAAAAGGTATGTGATTGACAAACACTTGGTAGTAAAGGCCAAAAGATTGAGTGACCTCTGTCTCACATATAATAGATATTTATGAAGGCCAAAAGATTGACCTTTGTCTTATATGTAATAGAGGTTTATGAATTCCAAATAAATGATATGTCCGGGCAAATTTTGGTGTAAGTCCAAAAGAATGAAAAATCGATAGGCTGTTTACAGAATTAATTATAATTTTCCAATTACCTTTATAATTAGACTTTTTTTAATTTATTTTTTATTTTTTGCTAGAGTGTATATACCATTTGCCAGAGAGAAGCAGAGAGATAGAGGGAGAGGAAACAAGCACTCCCTAGTGGGTTTGGTCATGCGCAGTCCTTTCTCTTCCATTCTTTTATCATGTTGAGATTTTGGGCATGCAAAATCTCATGGCTGGTGTGTTTTTCAATTGCCATGTGGTCAGCCATATCTGGTGGTGTTTTTGTAACATAAGTATAGCAAATGGTGACATGGGAAGCCTTGCTCTTTATTTTTTTTTTAGCTGCATTCCATAGTCAGTGACTTTTGAATGCAGTTACTCAGTGAAAGGAAAATTATTATGAAGTAAAGCATTGTTTAAGGTTTGTCATGTTTGCTTAGGTGAACTAGGCTACCTAATTTTTTTTTTTTAATACCACAGAGTGTGTCCATACTCAACATTAAGAGTCAGAGAGAAAACCCTCTAATGGGACCTGGTCACACCACAGTACCCCTTCTTCTTCCATTTCTCCAGCTTATCAGGATCCTGAGCATGCACACGGTGTCATGTATTTTTTAAGCTTCCATGCTGAGATTTGAGCTGCTGTTGCCCATGTGAGATTTGGCTCCATTGGCATAGCATTAACTGCTGTGCAAAGGAGCCAGCCCTAGACTATCTAATCTTGATAGTTCTAAAATTTCAGAAAGGCAATCCCATGTGCCCATTATAAGTGCATGTTGGTAATATATAAATATTGGGTTCTTTTTGGAATTTTTGGCATTTACTTAAATGACCTAGCTAAATATTAGTTACATTTTATTAAGAATTACTTACTTAATTTTTAATTTATTATTATTTTTAAATTTTGCTATAGGGAACACACACTCACCAGAAAGAGATAGATTGAGCAAGCTTCCAGGTCCAGGACTTGAACCACATTTGCCCATTTGGGAGTCCAGCGCCTTAACTACCATGCCACCTGCTGGCCCTGAGTTACATATTTTTAAAAGATGTTTAAGGTTTTTTATAACAATGTGTGTAGCGAATTTATTTACATGTTACATAATTATGTGTAAATCTAAATTATGATTTATGTTTCTTTTGGGTTTTCTGATTTTGCTGTTGATCACCTCTGTAAATCACTTAATAAAGAATCTGTGGTTCATAACTATGTTACCAATTGTTATGGCACTCTTTGGGGGTAAATGCAGTGTACATTTTAAGCTATGCTTCTAAAATAGTGTAAAACTATTTGAGACTAGTCTTCACCATTTTTGGGGGACTATATTTCTAGAAATAGTGTAAGAACACAGAATAGTGAAAAATAATATACTTTTATCATAATTATATGGCTAGTCTTAAATATTATTTTAAGTCTAAATGTAATTTTCACTAATGTTTGGCAGTTACCATATTTATTGACAGTAGGAAGAAATGGTAACCAAATTATTTTTTGCTTATTTTTCCATGATCTGTTGAAATTTTGAATGGGCTAGGTTAATGTCTAAGTCAGCAAAAATTAGATATATTGATTAGGAAATTTTGCTTCTGAAGTATCATTTTTTTTTTTTTTTTTTTTTTGAGAGGTTTTTGCTATA